AGTCTGACCACCTTGTAGTCCAGAAGCAAGTGTGGCAATTCGTCCCATCACAGTGCGATCCCCAGTGTATACAACAATACCACGTGCTGTGCCTTTAAAAAGGAACCGAGAATGGGACCAAATGTAACGGGGCAGAAACCACAGAATCTGCACAACTGCCATGGCATGCACAAATGTACAAATGCCAATGGCATGGTTTAAGAAAAGGCTCTTGCGTCAGAGGTCAGAGCAGAGCAGACGAGGCACTGCTGACAACACAGGCCCACCAGAAGTGCAGGAAAGAGCAAACCCAGCTACCAGGCTTCCTGGGCTTCCCTGCCAGAGAGTGAACCACCACTCTGCTTTACTGCAGAGTCGTGTCTATGGTTTCTTTATGTTTTTGGTTTTTTTATAACACCTTACAGACAGCATGCCAAGGAAAAAATGGTTTACCTTCAACACAGTTGGTTGAAAAAAAGGCAATGTTCCTTGTCTCCAGAGGGTTCTCATTTGTGAAATCCGGAGACCTGGTCTGAGGCTCGGATTCTCCAGTGAGCGAGGAGTTATCCACCTTGCAGCCGTTCGCAGAAATGATTCTCAAATCTGCAGGGATTCTGTCTCCACCTTTCACTTCCACCAGATCCCCAACAACCACTTCTTCTGCGTTGATGCTCATTTTTTCACCATTTCGAATCACGAGAGCTTGCTGAGGAACCATGTTTTTGAAGGATTCCATGATCTTCGAACTTTTCGCTTCTTGATAGTAGGAGAAACAACCCGTGATGATGACAACAGCTGACAGCACCACACCAAGATAGAGCTGGAAGGGGACAAACCAGTTAGGATGCGGTAGTAAAAAAACCAGGGACATGGTTAATTTGACTGAATAAAAAGCAAATAAGAGAGACTGAGACTTCAGAAAGCCAGAACCCATATCTTACAAGACTCATATATACAGGAAGGTCAGAGATGTAACCAGTCACATTTGAAGAGTTTTTGAATGTTGTAGAAACTGTTTTATTAAAATAAAGTTGTCTTCCCAACATGTGACTGAAGCACAGCAACCAAGCACCATCTCATTAAAAGCTGGGCTCCGCATTATGCTAAGTGAACTAACTCAGTCCCATAAGGCCAAATACTGTGAATAAAACTAGTAAAACGTGTATGAGGATCTAAAGGGAGTAGGAGGTAAGCACAGACAACAGGCCAGGACTGGACTGGCCTGTAGGCACATCTACATGCAGACACAGGAAAGACACAGGGGCTGTGAAGGCAGTAACTGCTGACACTTTCCCAGTAAATCCATCAAGTGAAACTAGTGGTAACTGAAAACCAGTGGGAAGAGTGAGCAGAACCATGTAACTTACATTATCATTACTAGGGTCCTCTTCTGTGGCAGCTACAATGCCGTAAGCCAAGAAGCAAAGAACTGCTCCAATCCACAGCAACATTGAGAACCCCC